TCGACGCTTCCGGATGCTCTGGGTTCTCCAGTAGCTCTCAAGGCGGCGGTGTGCTCAAGTCCGGCGGCCACGGCCACCACTGGACCAAGGCTCACTGGCAGAACCTTCCGACCCAAGCCGAAGAAACCCAGCTGCCCAGACTCATCGATGTCATACAGCGAATCCATACACGCTGCCACGGAGTGGTTGGTGCTGAGGATGCGGAATCCTAGGAAGGGCAGAATGAGCTCCGCCAAGGTCGTCTCGCGAGTGAGATGGACAAGCAAGCGCACGTTGTAAATGTCCTGAGGAGTGATGTAAAGATCACTGTGCCCCAATTTTCGCAGAGCCATAGCGACGTGTCGGCTAGTCGTTTAGCCCCCGGCCCGAATAGGCTTGAGACGAAAGCGAGGGCATGTTCGAAAGCAGCCTTCATTGTGACACGAGTCGCACATGGTCAAAAGCTGCACGGCATGATACTGCACAAGGTGCACCTGTGTTTCAAGCATTGTCATGACTTGCGCAGTAAAGAGCGGAAGGCCCAGTCCTCCCCAAACGTGTCCTCCGGTGATTCCAGCTGGTCATTCCTGAAGAGAGGAAGAAGTGTTCGACTGAACGCTCGGTGTTTGCAGGCTGCGTTCTTTCTTACGACAATTATTGGGGTCTGTTGCCCTAAGGGTCCAAGTAGTCCTTATTTAGGGTTTCTGGTACCCATCAAGGCCCCAAAGTCCTTAAATAATGAGTACTTGGACCCGTAGGGTTGGTGAGTGGAGGAACACTGGTGTTTTTTCGGACAGGCCGAACCCGGCAGAAAACATGCAATTGAGCTCATAATCCCACCAGAAATCGCATCTAGCTCACTGCTGTTTGAATTCTCAAGGACACGGCCTGTTGACTTATGGGGTTGAGTACATCCACGATGTCATTTGCTACCAAAATCTGAAGTTTCGCAGTCCATGGGGCTTCATCTGCGGAAATACTCTATGCAACTTTACAACCTAGGGTTGGAAAGCTACATTGGGGAGTTGGCATGCGAGGAAATGTGTAACAAACCCCTTAGCCCACTAAAACCCTAAAAATTCCCTAAAAATCCCTAAACTCTGCACGACCTCAGCCCAAAACGCCGGCCGCAGCCTCCAAATTCCAAGAGTGCCCCGGCTCTGAAGGATTCCGTGCGGCGAATCTGACTTCGCCGTTCTGGCAGCGGCGCTCAAGGGGGTTCAGAGGGTGTAGGGTTGAGGGCTTAGGGTTTATAGGGTTCAGAGTGTAGGGTTGAGGGAGTATAGGGCTTAGATTCTAGATGGTCATGAGACCTCTGAGTGGTATTGAAAAAGTGCAGGTAACCTTTGTACAGGTGAAGACGTTGATGCATCGATAGAACTCGTTGCGATTTCTTACTCGTTGCGATTTCTTCGCGATGGCATGTCTGCACCTTTCACGGCAAGGCAGCTTCCTGCAAACACATGCGCGCACGCACACGCACACACACACACACGCGCGCGCGCGCACGCGCGCGCGCACTATCTGGGTGAACAAGCAGCTACAGCAGATCAATGCAAACACCGAAAGTAACCTTAGCCCAGGCCCCGAACATATAGAACAACATAAAGCCTGACAAGCACTGAAAAGCACTACTCTGAGGTGACACACATCCTAACATCCTGGTGAGAAATTCAGAAAGCCTGAACCTGAAACCTGAAACCTATAACCTCCCGACTCCCCGCCCAGACAAAAGACCCAAAGCGTGGGCCAAATCCCGAAAGCTCGCATGGCCTGTGAATCCACGGCTCCATCCAGCTGATCCATCAGCGGCTACGAGGCAAGCTCGGAAGCCCCAAAAGGCTGTGGATTAAACTCCAGCAAAGCAGGCCAAGGCTTTCGACGGAGATGATCTGAGAAGATGCATCCGAGAATAATCTCTAAAGCCCGGAAGTATCCTTGAGCTTGCGGGTTTATAGGTTATAGCCAGCCTTTCCGCACTCAGCCATGGGCTTCATCAGGCAAGATAGTACCTTAAACCCTAAACCCTAAGCCGCAAGACGGAGCTACAGCAGAGAGGGCAGACCAAGGGCTCCCAGCAACGAGCACATGCCAGGGGTGCAGGGGGGAGCGCGACTTTTCAACTGCACCAGACCAAAACTCTGCAAATGCCAGCTTCTCGACACTCGAAAGTCCAGACTTGTATAAAGGCGGGTCTCGGTTGCAGGGTGCATAGAGGGTCGAGGGTTCAGTGTTGAGGGTTTGGGGGACTGGTATACTGAACGCCGGAAGATTAGGCTTGAATGGGTCAGGGATCCAGGGTTTCCGTTCAAGAGTGAAGGGACAGACCGTCATGACCCTCCTCCGATAAATCCGACGCTTTGTTACCCTGCGGTCTCAGATCCTAGCCGGGGGGGGTCATGCTGTGAATGAGTCTTTCGCAATCCTTCAATCAGAACTCCTGTCAGACATGTAAATTTGCTTCCGCGGATGTCCCAGTTCTTGTGGGAGATTCCGACCGCAGCTACTAGTACTATCAGAAGATGATGCCCCAAGACTCGGAATCATAATCAGAGATTGCGAGCGATAATCCATACCTAGACCCTTAAATGTAGCACCGTTTATTGGATGACCTAATTAATGGTTAGGATTCTATACTAAGAAACTAAGGAAACCAAAAAAAGGTACTACATTTAAGGGTCTATAGGTACTCTGGGAAATGGTGTGTCGAAGTCGAGAAGCATCCGGCGGTCAAACGAAACTGAACCGCGTCCAGGCACCAACTAGCGCGAAAGTCGATTTAACTCGGAAAACAAGCCAGTTCTTTCAGGTTTATAAGGTGCCAGCATCTAGAATGTTCAGGGGCCACATCGTCACTGTCATTTAGGCGTCCAAACCTGCTGATCTTTCATATGGCGCTTCTACGCTTGACGATGCAGCATGCAGCCAGCCAGCTAGACTTGCGAAATTTAAAGGGTCGTGCCGCAATCTGCTGTTTTTTGCTACTGCATTTCTGTTCAAGAGACCAGATCTGACATGGCAAGAAGACAAGGCACTGAACCCTAAGCGCAACCTCAACACCAATCCAATGGACTCAGAACTCCTTACCCATAGGCTACATAGCAGTTCCTTTTTGTGGTTTGTATTTAAAATCCTATAAGCTAGTCCCCCCAAAAAGGAACTAGTATGGAGCCTATAGAGTAAAGACTGAGATTCATGTTTCGCGCCTGGACAAGATGTAGGCTACAGCGAAAGGGGGGGGAAAAAGTGAAGCGAAACAAGGACCGGCGAGAGCCATCGTGCCCGAAATCCCAATTATGCTTTCGCTTGCAAATCTAGAGGCCCAGAATTTCCCAACTCCCATACAGTATGCCCCGCAACTCTTCAAACTTCAAACTCTTAAATGAAGGTCTTCATTAAAAAAACGGTTTATAAGCCTGAAGTCCTGAGACTCCTCAAAGCCAGGCGCCGAAATGGTTCTGCTGACTTGGCCCGCCGATCCGTAATCCTAGAATCAATGCTACATACTCCTAGACCCTCAAATGTAGCACCTTGTATTGGATGACCTATTTTATGGTTAGGATTCTATCATAAGAAACTATAAGGTAACCAAAAAAAGGTACTACATTTAAGGGTCTAGGTACTGTCCCTGGAGAAAGCCAAAACTGCAGCAGCCAACCTTATGATATCCTTGAGGCCTTTCACAAAGTGCCAAAAAAGATCCCAGTATCCCAAACACACGATGACTCCCTGACCCTGAAGCCCTAGACCATGGAAGCCGTTTACGCAGCATCCGGCCCCAAAGCTCCTGTAACCCTGTATGCATATACCCTATAAGGGCCCAAAGGACCTAGTAATCATGTACTTGGGTTACGGATAGTAGTTTTGTAGTTTAGTATTGAGAAGAGATTATTAGGCACTTGAACCCTTAGGGATAGGACCCTCAACCTCAAGCAACAGAATTCGCAGGGGAACGTTTGCCTTCTGGACCCCCTTAACCTCAAGCCCTTCTAACCCAATGGAATGGGGCATATCCTTTAGCAGCTGCTATGGCTATCTTTAAGCCCGGCCCGTCTATCGACCAAGGAATATCACATTAACCTCACTTAAACCCTTCTCTAAGTCCCAGGGAATCAGGCGTTCGGATGGCTCAGGCGCCACTGAAGCACCGTCTGTGCCAGTCCCTGTGTGAGGCGGGTCGTCCCTGAGCCGAAGACCGCGGACCTCGAAAAGAGCGGAGCTTGGGGGTTTAGGGGTTAGGGTTTAGGGCCCTCCTTGTACCCCCAAATAAGGGTTTCTGGTCCCAAATTAAGGGTATTTAGGCTCTAATAGAGGGAAGATGGAGGATCGAAGTATAGGGATCGAAATCAAAAATTGACTGGAAACGCCTGTTCATCGCTCTATTCTGGCAGGGGGGCGGTGCGGGCAACGAAACGTAAATCATTAAAGCACGCTCATGTAGGGTGTATAGGGCTTCGTCCAAAAATACACTGATTCAGGTGGGTCCCGTGGAGAAGTTCTACAGTGTGGGACCCAAAGAATATACACTTTCATAAGCATCTTCGGGTGTTGACGGTATTGGAATTGACAGTGTTCTCTTTTGAAGCTTGAGCGCTCTCAAGTGGACCCGAATCCTCGGAGCCTGGGGGCTTTTTCACGAGACTTCCCCTATATACCTTGTCTCGGGCGAATGCGCAAACGCACCAGCCGCGACACATCGCATGACCTGAACTTACAGAACCTGGCACAAAACCGCTAAACCTGAACCCTGCGCCCGATCTCTGCAGAAGTTTCAGGTACGCCCTGTTTATAAGGCCCCCCCCAAAGGGTCCAAAGTACCTATATAGTAGAATGTAGGGTTTCTATATCAGGAAGTGTTATTATGATTTGGGAAAGTATCTCCCACAACAGTATCTAGGACCCTTTGGGTCCGGCAACCTCAGGTACGCCTTCTGCTTGACTCCTCCCTCGGCGATTTCGGGCCCAGGGGCTGAAAGGCCAACACCAGCTTCGCCAGCTGGCGGCCCGACATGCCCTCGGTCTGCTTGGCCACGTCCTGCCGGAAGCAAGATTGATCGGGGAGTCTATATATTCAAACTGCGGTGCCCGAAGACTGTGGACCCTGATTGGCACCCTTGGGTCCTTGTTGCAAGAACCCACGATTTCTAGAACCTTCGATTGCTCGCCTGGATTCAGCTCGAAGACTTTCATTAAGAGATGCTTGGAGTTGAGAGGAGTGCTGGGAGCCTTTCCCTAGCTTGAAGGTTGAAGCTCCGGAGAATGCTTATGGTGTTTGTTGTTGCTGCTAGCATAACAGCATCTCAGTACTATTTATTATTATAGCGACTATCTACTGTAATTGGATGAGTGCTCAACGCCGTCAAAGATGCAACAGCTAAGCACCAAGCCATGTCCTTCGTGTAACAGATGTCCCCCTCCGCCCAAGAACGGAACGGAACCACAATCACACCAAGTAGTAGCTAGCAAGCGTGTCTGGAGTTGAAGCATGTTGAAGCCCCTCATCGCACGCGAGTTTTTGGAACATCCTGGCTCCGCAGCGTCGACGAAATCGGGTTCAGCAAGTCACTCTTGTGACTGCTCATGTGGAGGAAGCTAAAAGCAAGTCACTCCACAAAGACAGCCCAAGGGCGCCACTGGAACTCTCCGGCATCGCTCTGCCCCCGATTCGACAGTCGTTGGCCTGTGGATTTCCTTCTGGGATGCTGCAAAGACCACAGAAACAATCCGGGCCAAGTGTGGATTTAACTTGCCATGTCGCGAAAGAAACACCTGCTCTCCGCAGCATTCTGATACTGATACATGATACGTTGACGATATGAATCCTGCATGACCTTAGGGATCCTAAACTATGGGAATTATGGGATATTCCTTATTCTGGGTACTGCAGGATTTACATCGTCAACCGTATCATCAAGTCGCTGCAGCTTCCAATTCCGGCTCAACGGCCGCGCCTCAGCCAAATGCGGCCTTGGAGGAAGCTAAAAGCAGGTCGCTCCAAGACTATGGCGAACAACAGCTGTACAACGGGGAAGAGGGAAGACCTCCCAAAATTGCTCTGTCGCGACGATCTATATAATAGGAGCCCATGGCATGGGTCATGGTGGGGATTCGGTGATGGCTTTGCCAAGGTCTGCACATATATCTTCTAATTATGTAGTATGCCCTACAAGTGCGGTTGGAACCTACGTGGGTTTGCGCCGTGGTTTCCGTGAGCTGTCCGTGCCTCTGTCGTGGACTGCACCACGGAGGCTGGACTGAGGAACATCCCGGCAGGAATGTTCAAGAAAGAGCGGCTGACAAGCACCACTTCCCCATCTTCGTCCGCGAAGGCGATGCTCTGGGAGCTTCTTGGTATCACGCCAAGGCTGCGGGGGATCTGCCGGATCACTCGCACCACCTCATTCTCCAGTGTTTCTGAGACGAAGATGTCGCAGGGCCTCAGCCGCATGGTGGACAAATGGCTGCGGATAGCTCGGAAGCAGAAAGGCTCCATGAAGATCTTGGCACCAGAGGGCTGCAACCGCCAGGCCAAGCCCTCCTCTTCCAGGGCCTGCCGATATGGCTGCAAGACCACAGAATGCTCCAGATCTTCGTCCAGCCGGCGGTGCGAGCGGCTCAACGTCAAATGCACTACCCGAGTGAGTCCAGCAGACATCCCAGGCTGCAGCTCGTCGCCATGCCAACCGGATCCGATGTTGTGCTCAATCCACGATGCTTCCTGCTCGGCCACGATTGCAGCGCTCTCCTCTTCCGAGATGTCGGCGGCAGGCTCGCTGTGATGCACGGGCTGCAGCACCTCCTGCGTTGGATCGGGTGTGGGTGTGCCGATGGACTGTGGGGCAAGCAGAACCTTGAAGCCTGGCGGAAAATCGCACTGACCAGAGTCATTGTTTCCGAAGCACACCAGCTCGCCACTCGCCTTCACGGCACAGGAGTGATATCCTCCCGCAGCAACGGCCACCACCGGACCGAGGTCGGGAGGCACATCGCACTTGCCAGAGTCATTGTTTCCGAAGCAAACCAGCTCGCCACTCGTCTTCACGGCACAGGTGTGCACATTTCCGGCAGCCACGGCCACCACCGGACCGAGGTCGGCAGGCACATCGCACTGACCATACTTATTGCATCCGAAGCAAACCAGCTCGCCACTCGCTTTCACGGCACAGGTGTGAAACAGTCCGACAGCCACGGCCAGCACCGGACCGAGGTCGGGAGGCACATCGCACTGCCAAGTCTCATTGCATCCGAAGCAAACCAGCTCGCCACTCGCCTTCACGGCACAGGTGTGTAAAGCTCCGGCAGCCACGGCCACCACCGGACCGAGATCACGAGGCACATCGCGCTGACCATGACGATTGCTTCCGAAGCAAACCAGCTCGCCACTCGCCTTCACGGCACAGGTGTGATATCCTCCCGCAGCCACGGCCACCACCGGACCGAGGTCGGGAGGCACATCGCACTGATCATAGCGATTGTTTCCAAAGCAAACCAGCTCGCCACTCGTCTTCACGGCACAGGTGTGCACATTTCCGGCAGCCACGGCCACCACCGGACCGAGGTCGGGAGGCGGATCGCACTGGCCACGATAATTGTCTCCGACGCAAACCAGCAAGCCGGCAAGCTCCCCAGCCTCGCTGATTGCGACTGTGTTGAGCTCAGATGCGGCCACGGAGCAATTGGAGCTCCAGATGCGGAATCCCAAAAAGGGCAGAACATGCTGACCCCAATGAGTCCCACGAAAGCGATGTACGAGCAAACACAGGTTGTAAACGTCCTGGCTGGTGACGTACAAGTCGCCATGCCCCACAAGACGCAAAGCCATGATGTTGGCAGGTCTCTAGCCAACTGCCCCCGTGGCTTGAGAAAAGTTCGATCCACAGGCAAACATCCTTCGAGTCATTTGATGCAATGAGGTCGCACCTCTTTTCCATGGTTCAAGGACGCTCGATGGTTCTTTACCGAAGGGGGGGGGGTCGGGCCGGGGGAGGTATCCCAAATGACCCAGTCCTCCCAAAACTTGTCGTCCAGCGCAGCGTCCACTTCGATCAGCGACTTTCCGCCCTTCGAGGACCGCAACAGATACCTGCTGATTCATTGCGGGAAGATGTCCCAAAAACCCCCTGAACCCTAAACTATAAACCCTAAACCCCCAAACCCGAAACCATAAACCCTAAAACTAGGGGCCTGCTCTTTGAAAACCGGGCTTGGAGCTGGTAAGGCAAGCCTAAAAGCAGCCCAGCTTCTCCATGCATGTGTTCAGGCAGGAACTTTCCTGCTGCTTTCAACTACGAGCAGGGGCCAAGGCGTGCCCCAAGACTGTTGGGCCGTTTGGGAATTGTACTTTTAAGGTTTTGCACTGTTTTGGTTGTGCGAGTGTTTGTACCTGCGAAGCTCAACTTCCGGGATATCAAACCACCGTGTAAGCAGAACAAAGCTTTCGGCAAGTGCTACAGCTACGCTTGCAAGAGCCGCAGTTGAGCGTGCTGGTTTTGTCATCTCATCTGTCATGCGGCAGGTGTATATAGTTTAATTGTCTCGACCTCCTCCTCTTTGAAACATCAAATGTTAAACTAAAGTTAAAACCTCAACTCTGGACCTCAGACTCCATAGCCACTTTACCCTCAACTCTAAACCACAAGTCACTTCTGAAATCTCCTGTACCCTACACGCCGGCCAAGTCTCTGATCGATGAAGAGGCGGAGCATCTGATTCCGCTGCTCGAAAGCGGGTCTGGCGTCATAGAGGCAACGAGGCAAAAAAGAGGTGGTGGCTAGGCCGCAGAGACTTTTGCATTTCGGAAGGGAGGGGGGTGGGGGTGTTCAGGGTTTCAGGCTTCACCGTAAGACTCCGAAACCCAACACACACACACACACAAAGTTGTGTGCATCTTGGACTAGGCCTAGGCTCCCCAGGTTCAGGGTTTTGGCTTTTGGTTTAGGGCTTGCATGGTTTTCGGTTTTGGGCTTTGGCATTCTGGGCCTCCTCGTGGCTTGCTTTGAGGATCTGCAGGATTTTCGGAACTAGGCCTGAGAGCAAAAACAAAGGCTTTGCGGGTGATCCCTCTTTTTGAGGTGTGATCATGCATCACTAAACGTGCAAGCATGCACAAGAGCCGACACTCTACACCGTCACATACCCGACACCTAGCAAGCCCAGCCATAAATCTTCAGACACTAACCCTAAACCCTAAACCAAGAACCAACCGACAACAGCCCTCAACCCTGGCAACCCTGGGGTCTGCGCGTCCTCGGAAATTCGAACTCCTCATCCACACGGTCGAGGACGGCTCGATCCAAGACGGTGGGAACGTTCCTTTCGAGCCAAGGCTTCAAGGCCACGACGAAGCAGGGCGCTCTAGAAGCGGAGTGGGGCTTCATAGCTGAGCAAAAACACCTAAACCTTCCAGGCTTTAAGCCCCAACCTCTAAACCCCACCTACACCCCCAACCCGGAAGCCGTCACCATAAAAAACCATGATGTTCGACGTCGGGAATTGCGGCACTTCTAGGCCATCGGGCTGCAGGTCCATGCGGATTCTTGAGCGTTGCTTGCAACACTGGCCTCAAATCTTGCTTGAGCAGTGCAAGGGAAAGTATGGCTCTTGGTGACTTTTGTTAACGCCATTATAGGTCTGAGATGCCTGGCGCCGGAGAAAGAGAGTTTATCTTTGACCAGCAGAGCGGCGTTGCAAGAATCACGGCCACACGGGCGCTTTCCGTGCCGGTGTGATGCAAAAAGACGGACCTGCAGGGCTTTGATTGTGTAGCGCCTACGGCTTATAGGTTGACGGACGAAGCTTTCTGAGAGGTTGACAAAGTTTCGTTTGAACCTTCCTGGACAGATCATGCCTTTCAATAATGCTTTTCGTACGACAACCTCCGGCTCCGAGAGTTCGTCACGACGGGCTCAACGCAAGGACTCCCAAGAATACCTAACCGCCTGGGCCCAAGCTGATATTCCACTTTGCATGAGAATGTCCCAATCAGTTCAGGGTCAGAGTTTGCGGTTTGAAGTTTCATGTTCTGGCATTTGGGGCTTGGCGGGCGGTTTACGGCTCTGCTGTTAAATCCCATTGGCTTGGATGTGTTTGTTGACGGGGCAAGCGGCTAAGTGAGCAGGGGCTGACGGTTCATAGCAATTCCTGTTCGAATCGAGGGTCTCGCACGTAGGCTTACGAGCTTCGGGAGCCCCCGAATCTATATAATATATAATATATAATGGGGTATGCACCAAGGCACAGCGAGTTCCTCGCATCCTCGCCCATCGTCCCCTCTCCACCACGGCCGCGGCGAAGGAACGAGTCCGCCTGAAACAAACATCTTCAGGCTCTCCCAAAGCCAGAAAGCCCTAAGCCCCGGGTACCTACTTTTTGGGGTACTAGAGCCCCTAGTGCCCTATATAGTAGGTACCNNGCATACTTCGAACCGGGCGCGAGGTCCATCCTGGCCCCCCGAACCCAAAGCCGAGATCTGCGTATTGCTTCTAGTAATTTGTCCCAGACCCCAAACACTACAAAGCACAGATTCAGTGGCTCCGCCTGGCCTGCCCAGCCGCTATGCACAATCGGGCATGGAGCCTTTCTCCACCATCAGGAAGCCCATATCCACCCCTATGAGATCCCATGACCAAGATCGAGATTATGGACGCCCTGGGGTGCCGGTTCCCGACCGGACCCTGTACATCCGAAACCGCTGCAGAGTCGTCGAATTTCGGCTTTAGTTCGTGCCTCGTCTATGAACAGGACCAGTCCTGCCAGGAAAACCAGAACAAAAGGAGGACTCTTTCTGGATATGATGTAAGGGCCTTAATAAGTAG